GCTCTTCGGGGAGCTTCTCTTTGCGAATAGGAAGTAAGCGCGCGGCAAAAGGGACCGGCGCTTGGCGTAACGTATCCGTTTTCAACTGAAAATGTGCAAAACGCAGCATTAAAAGTGCCCGCGACTTTTTTCAATTAAAATATAGCGATTTGCAATAAAGCGATTCCAAATAGTTTCATTAACCTGCGAATTTTACTCGGGTGTTTCTTTTATAAAATAACATAAATAACGAGAGGAAGATTGAATATAGTATTGATTTGTAATAATCTATTTATAATTTTAATTTATAAAAGTCTATAGCAGCGAAATAAAAACGTAAATTATTAATATGCTGTTATGCATATTTATATGTATATATATCGCAAACAATACAAAAGGCATTTTTAATTGATTGTGAGATGTATCATGTACAATACATTTTTCAGTTCTTATCACTTAATTGTATATTCTAGCATATTTCACTTCTTGTTCGATCGAAAAATATTTATTCAAGTTACGATGTACAAAAAACATGATATATTCTCTTCATTAATTTTTTATTATATTTTCCGTTTTATTTCTATTATATTATATTATTCAATATATATGTGTACATAATGTAAAAATAATCTTTTATATTGTCTGCATAAATTTACATAGTTTATGTGAACGAAATGAATTCTCATCAGTATTAATCAAAATTATTCATCATACTCGTTGAGTGAACTTATTAAATGCGAGATCTATGGATATGAAATACGTTTATGAATTATAATATATACATTCCGAATACTGTATATGATTGCCATAAATTTATCATTTAACTTGTAATTAAATAATGTATTCCTGCATAATGCATGTATTTAATATTTAAATTTAAGATAAGAACACATACAAACACATTTGTAATTTATCCCTTAAATAAATTTAAACATATTAAACGCTCAAAATTTTACACGTACGATAAATTTTCTTTGTTTGCTCCCTGTTGATATATCGAATGAAACAACTGTCATAAATGTTATAAAAAAATTACTTACAACGTTTTAATGTATATGAGATTTGTGCGAATGCAAGCTGTTCTGATCAAATAAAAAATGATATTTACAACATCAAAAGTGACATAATAGTTATAAGATTACCTCCCCCCCTTCTCCCAGCATAAAAAGAACAAGCAAATGATGTTAATATTTTATTGCAAATAAATGATAATTATTTGATCTCAATTTGAGATCTAATTCGATTAATTTGATTACATAACATGTTTGGAAAATAAGACATATGTTTTCAAAATCGAAATATGATGCTTACAATACTTTCACAAAATTCCGAAAAAAATAAAAATCAGAGATAAAAACAATTAAAAAAAAAAAAAAAAAAATAAAAAAAAAAAAAAAAAAAAAATAGATCAAATAACTTGTTAAAAATGGTTTTGAAATTTCATAACATGTGAGAGATTTCTGTTGACATTTATATGAAATTAAAACAGAATTATATAACGCAATGACATATATAATGGCAAATGACAAATATACAGCAAAAGTAAAGATAAATAAATATTTTAATTAAATTATTAAAATAAGAAATTAAAAATGTTGACAATTTAGTCAAGTGCGATAAGAAAATATGTCTTAGCGAATATAATTAAACTATATGTAGCTTCATCTGACAATGCATAGAGTGCATACAGAATGAGAGAATAGAAAAGAAAATAAGAGTGAGAAACAGAATAGCAGAACAAACGGTATTTTAACCGTCGTAAATTGTTTATTAATTGTAATTTGATCGGAAATTGCATGGCATTTGCGGATATCATTACATTTCGAATTGAATCGTATTGTAACAATGAACAATGTTAACACGCTTAATCGTATCGATGGGACGTTGTGATAATGATTATGATTAATGACTGCGCCTCGACGTCTATTATTCTAGACCACATGGATTAGCAACGATTTCATTATCAAGCAAATGATTTGTAAACGTCAACGGAAAAATCGAACATACTTACTTGAAAGGCCATTCTAAAAAATCCATCGTTATTTATTCTTTATATATTTTGTAATATGTGTGTGTGTGTATAGAGAAATATATAATATATTAATAAATATAAAATATGTTAACTTTCTTTATCTTCTATATTTTCTCCAGCTTCAACAATATTTTCTGGCAAAGAAAATAAGCAAAATTAAAAACAAAAAATAAAATCGTATAAATCTAAATTAGGTTCTTTATATCGTATTTCACAACATTCGTGAAATTTATTTTAAAGATGTTAAAAAGGATAATGGAACACACGCATATATTTACACAAGCGTGTTTTGTAAGTTATAAAAATTGTATAAAAATTCGTGTAATAAACAAATAAATTAAATCAAAACTAAATATTAAATAATGAATTACTTTAATGTTGTCATAATATGAACTTTCTCAAAGGTAATGTTTTATTAATTATTAAAATATTCCTTAAAAAGTTGTAAGACTTGGTGTCATGAATACGTTTCCTCTTTCAAATATTCTATGATACTAAAATCTCGTATTTATGAACGCAATTCCGCCAGGCTTTTGAACAATTTGCGTGCTCGTTAGTAAGGCTGACAGCCACGAATTGTGTGCTTTTCGATACTGTACTAATACTATTTATTGCCCTCATTCTTTTTATTGCAGCACCACTTTCGTGTTTGTATCGTATATGTATCTAAAGTATTTCGGGATGAAATAATTTTATCGGCTAATTTTAAAACTGGTTATGGGATAGAAAACGCCGTATGATTTTCAATTGTGATATAAGCGTTTCAAGATCTGTGTAAAAAAATAATGAGCATTTTTTTGTTTTTGATTTAGATTTTAAATAAATTAAATTTGTTTCAGCTTATGAACTATAAGTTCGAACTATGTATAAATAACATTAAAGCAATAAAAGCGAAGTTCTATAAAAATTAGTTAAAATTAACTAGGATGTGTAATTAATTATTCATTTTTTTTTTGAAGATGGTATTAGACAGGATTACTGTTGTTAATTTTAGCCGATAAAAACTGCTTTATATCATTTTTCATTTAAAATTATAAAATCATCAAAGACTTTGTATTTCCTCTCGAAACACCCTACGCATGCATTTTTCCATACTATATAATTTTCTCGATACAATAACTGGTAACTCGAGATAACACTCACGCGCGTCTATGCGACGTAGAAGGTGTCGACACACCTCACGAGTCTCGTCCTGCACAGCATGATTGCCATCGACGATTCTCACGTTGAAAAGACGAGACGCTTCTCTCACTCGCTCGAGTCGATTGAGGACCGCCCGACGATGCTCTTAACATTCCAATGCGTCTCCTTTAATCCTCGACGTGCTCCAATATCCCTGCACTTTGCTCATATAAAGTTACCTCGATCCTTGTCGCATGCTCGGGCGATGAATCTTATCGCGCTTTTCCCGATTTTTATATCGCTCGTTCATTCCTTATTGCTATGAGTATAAAAATCTACGTCATCTTAGTCGCCTTATCGATATATTTGTGTCAAAGCGTTCTTAAAAAAGATGTATTCAAGAATCTGCGCTTGTCCAATGACAGAATCTCTATCGTTGAGATTTACAACGTATATCGATCGATCGATACTCTTGTTTCGGAAAATCACAAAACTCGAGCAGTCCGACTTGCGAGATCGGAACACGATTTTTTCGAGACTGAAGTCTCCTTTCAACCGAGACACAACATCATTCATCCGTAAGACAAAAACTCTCGCCAAGTTTTGCGCACGTCGCGATCACCGTCGCTCTTCGAAGAATCTCGAGATCGCGAGAATCGATCGTTGAATATCCGATCGTCGAACGATTCGAAGCATCCCGGCTTCGGACGCTTCGTCGCGGCCTTCTTCGGAGGAACGTCGAGCTTATTCGCGGTCACGCACTAGGTCACGCGAGAGTCCTCCCGACCGGCTTGCGAGAACATCCACGCGCGACGATGACGAGAATCACCCCGTTTTACGTACGCGCGGTCCGACGATCGCGAGAGACGCGCGGGCACTGGCTGCGCGAGAACTTACCGCCACCCCCGGACGAGTGCGCGGACAGCCAGTGCGGGGTAGTGGGTGGCTTTCGAGGGTGGCTCGAAAGGGGTGGTTGTACGATGGAGAGAGAGAGAGAGTGAGAGATGAGGAGAATGAGGAAGAGAGACGGAGACGAATGAGATAGAGATACACTCACATACAAACCATGTAAGAGAAAAGGATGACGTGCACGAAACACGGAATCCTCCTTCGACATTCTACGCGAATGCTGAAGACAATCCCGTGGAAAAAGGGACCTATCTCCGTTTATCTGGGTTAGCGGATTCGCGCGACCCTGACCAGCGTCACGTTGATACTTTGTAATTATCAATCGAAGGTATATAAATTACGATCGAAAATCCGTAAATTACCATCTTTAAATAGAAATCGATTTGTGCTCTCTACCCTTCGTCAAGAAAAAGAAAATACTAATTAAATTAATAAATATATATTCCTCATTTCTCATCTCTGATTTTTTTGAAACTTAATTTGCGAAAAGTTTTTATTTCCAGTTATTTGTAATTAAGAAACTTGGTGCTTCAAGAACAGATTTATTTCAAACTAGGAACTTTGAAACATAAAATTTTAGCAAAGAATGATATTGAACTAATGTATAAATCAGAGAGACTCGCCGCGATATTGTTTCTTGTTAAAAGCTTGCTGCAAGAAATCTAGTTGCATCTTATTATCGGATTATCGAGTTTCCTCGACACTGACCATACTTTTCGATAAAGATACCCCCAATCCAATCTCGCGATATCTCGAAGTGCCATGTAGGCTTTAAAGACACGGTGTAAAAATTGCCGAGGATACCGTCGTCGCGCAAGATGCCCTGGGAGAGAAGAGATGGAATAAAAAGGAGTTGAAAGAGGCGAACGCAGGCTGCACGCTTTCGCTGGGAATAGCATCAAGCGCTGAGGACCACTCTCTTTTCGTTGTAAGTACATAAGGCAGTCTGATGAAGAACCGAAATTGCTTCCCACTTGGATTACTGCGCCCGCCCTAGTCTGACCACGCTCTTGAATTAAGCTCGTATATTTGACAATGCTCGCGTCGTACGTTTTGCGAGAAGGAATTAAAGCTTCATCGCGCGGGATTTATGCCGGTGGAGAAAGATCTCGCGCTAGGAAGGAATCGGATTGCTTCGCACATGTGGTTTGTTAATGTTCGCTCGAGATAAATTTGTAATTATATATTACTAGTCCAAGAGAGAGACAGAAAGAGAGCTATTAATATCCTAAACATTTGTATCCTTCAGCGGGAGATAACGCAAAAATATGAGAGAAACGGCGTTACTGAAACTATAAAACTTAGGAGAAAATCGCAAATGGAGCATACAAAGGTTTAAGGGTAGGATAAGCGAAGCAGCGCATATATCGACTACGAAATGGCTCCGAGGGTTCTCCGCGTTGCGGTGCCAAGCAAAAAGCGGAAAGAATGAAAGTAAAGGGTGGTAGTGAGAGAAGGAGAGGGAGCGCGAGGGAAAAGAGAAAAAAGTATCTAAGTTGATTCTATACTTTCTCTGGAAGAGTGCAGAGATAGGGGACCGACGAACGAAACGAAGTCGTTTTATCCGCGTTAGTGGACAACGAGCCTGACCACTTCCTATGCAAAGAGGATTGAGATAAAGTTCGCATTCATCAACGATGATGTCCGCCTAAACTCTGTCGCCCTCTCTTAACTGTCATCCGTTACTCGTGAAATCTCTCATTCTTAAAGCCAGATTTTTAAAAGGAATATACTTCCCGGTCCGCTCGTCTTTTCCCGAGATAAAAGAAATCATTTCAACGAGTCTTACGCGGCAGAGATTCGTTCGCGAACACAATTCGATTAATTTTCACCGAACAAATGGTATTCGTTCTATTGGAGCTACGGCGAGCACGTAGTCTTTTTAAATCTTCTGCAGAGAATTTATAATGTTGTAATTTCTAACTTTAGGCTATAGTGTAAATCTTGATCTATCTATTAAACATGAATAAACTTTGATGTAAATATATACTGTGAAGTCTGTAGAATTTGTAATAAAAACAGTAATGCCATAATAAAACTAATTTATTTAAGGCACCATCTTTTTTATCTATAATTTATTTAATTTTCCATTTACATTTCAGCTCATTGATGTTTTTATCTTAAATTATTTTTCACTGTAAAAATGTAAAGGCTAACACTTTTGAAAGACATTGAATGTAAATATAAAAAATTTAACTTCTGACATTTTAAGCTATACTCGAAGTTATGGCTTTTGTCACGGTGTACATAGTATTCTCAACTTTAGTAATAAGAATTATGAGACGTTATAAGACGATAATATATTATATCTTGAATCTTTATAATGACAATGGCTTTTCAAGACGCCACTATCAGCTAACAGAACTCTTTTTGATCTCCTTTATTGCAATTTACTTCTTCTTTACATTATCAAATAATTTTTTATTATTGCTTGCAAGAAATTAATGTAATTTACTATGGAATCTCGATAACATAGAGAGCGTTAATTTATCAAGATATAACTGGCAATTATTGTTAAAAATGTTCTTTTTATCATGGCAAACATACGAAGATTACATCCATTTCTTTTTTAAAAAAATCTGACTTATTCATTTTCGTGTACTTTCTCATTGAATACGATTTAATTAAACTCTCTGAAAAGAAGATAAAATGCAAGAAAAAAAAATTCTGTTTTCTGTGCGCATTAAAAATTAAATCGAAATGTCACGGTTCGTTGAAAGCTAATGAGCAGTTTATTTCATTTGCTCGCCCTTCGATCAACGAAATAAAGAAAAAAAATTTTTAACGAACTTCTTTGCCACTGAGAGAAAATCCCTGTCAATATTATTTCCCTGATATATTCTCCGTTCTGTGATATCGGGAAAAACGATTAAATTAAAAAATATCTGTCATAGCGGTCATATACATATATATCTGACGTCAATACTCTTTATAAAACGTATTTATATGCAATATAATTCTTTCATCAATGTTTTCAATTATCATCAAGCATTAACCCTCCACGTCTTTTTTTTAATAACATATAGTGACATTCTGGCAGAACCCCAAGAAAACTGCTGACAAAATTTTCGCGAAAGCATATAACTCGGCGCGCATGATATCCTCTCTCTTAATGGGATAATAAACTGTGGTGACAGCTACATATAAAAAGCAAACTTCTTACCTACGACTGATGAGCGTGGCACCGTCAGCGGTATCACACGAGTAATATTATAATAAATTTCTCATTTGAACAATTAAGGATCTACTTTTAATGTGAAAAATTTACACATAATAAATGATAAATCGTCGTTTTTTTCAGCCAGCACATAAAATCTAAACGCGTATTTCAATGAACATTTTCATGATAGTTTCCTTTTCAGTAAACTGATGAAATCTCGATGAGCGTACGTATAATTTCATCTATTTTATTTACCGTACGCGAGAGGACAGTATTTTTTAATTTTATATCGAGCAATACACGCGGTACGTGATATTATCCGTATGAGCGAATAAAAGCATAGAAAGCAATATGATGATGGTTTGTACAATAGCGAACATTGTAAATACGTTGTTTTTCACAAGTTTTATATTCAAATATATACTTGTAACTTTTATCTGCTGCTAGTAATCAAATGTAAACAACATTGTAATTTTGACCACTCGAAATATGAATATATTATATAGTGAAACATTGATTAAAAATCTGAAATATCTAGAGAACAATTTTCGTTAATAAATCCGTAATAAAATTCTTATTATTAGTTATATCAAAGTTTGTAATAAATAAAAACAAACGAAAATGCTTTCAAATAAGCTATACTAAAAGTTGAATGAATAAAACAAGCTCTAACTTTTTAATAAAATTCTATAATTTTTAATAGCTTGTGATGTAAGTATTACATGAATGTCTTAACTTGAAAATAATCGCTATATTTTTCTGAATTTTAATGCTTACGTATCTTTGATTAAAATATCGAGTAGTACACACTTTTTTACAGATCTTTCCTTTGCTTCAATTGTATAAAACAATTTCAAAATCTATCACGTTTTGAGCAACTTGTCCGAGTATGTTGAAATAGCTGCGGGTTAAATTCCGACGTAAAAGCAACTCGTTCACGCATATGCACAGCGAGTACATCACGTACATCACGGACATTGTAGGACGCAAAAGTTGCTTTTTATTCTTGCGAGAGGAAGCTGCACGGACGCATCCGTATGCGTGTACGATAGATAAATCAAGCGCGGTGCGCCAACGACATGACAAAATATATTTCTTTTATTTTTACCGACCGTTATTCTGTCTCGCGTTTTTTCAAGACGGTTCTCGAAACTGCGCGATCGAAGTTAACCGATTGCCGCGCGCGACAAATATCGGATAGCAATCTTCGTACAGCATTGTTCCTTTCTTCTCTTGGCTTTTTTTCCTTGCAATCAGACTATTTAGATTGCGACGCGCGCGGGAGAGCTTTGCAACCTTCTTCTGTGTGTTCGAACTATCCTGTTTTGCGTGGAATTCGAGATTTTCGACGCTGCTGTTTTGCTCGACTACATCTCGATTTCTTTCTACGGGCCAAATTAATTATTCATTTTGTCCTTCTCGTATCTAATCGATTTGGCGAAACTATGTTTATATATGCACACGAGTACAATCGGAAGACCTATGTATTCCTGTATCGTAAACTATCGAATTATCCAAAATTCTTAATCGGAAATCTCTTTTTTAGATGGCATTCCAAATAATTTATCTAACACAAATCGAGAGACATAAATATATGATAAAACAAAAAGTTCATCTAAAATTCAAGATCATTTTGTATTATTGAATACATTCCAATATATTGTATTCCGCATGATTTTATCGTGGCATCAAGTTATAATAGAAGCTTTCACGCGTGCATTTCGAACACTTTGATTTTGGAATTATGCGTGTTATAGTATGCTATTGTACGATTTTCTGCCTATTCAATGGAATTTTCACTCGG